GAGTGCGGGCGGGCGGGCGGACCCTTTGCCGTTCCCGGAAGTTACTTACTTCCGGGTTCGCTGACCAACCGGTTCGTGGCGGTCCCCGCGAACCGGTTGGTCGGTGAACCCGGAAGTAAGTAACTTCCGGGAACGGCAAAGGGTCCGCCCGCCCGCCCGCACTCCTTACCCGGTTTTGATAAGTTCTGCGCTTCCACGCATGCGCAGGACGCATACAGCGCCTGCGCGATCCTCCAGGAGCAGCTGGAGCATCGCACAGACGCTAGTACGCATGCATGCACCGCACGCGTGCACGAGAACGCCGCCGGCCCCGTTCCAACCGGTTCGCGAGAAACTCACCCCTGGCTAGGATCAATAGGGAAGGCTGCTATAACCCAACACTAGCCCACCTTTTCTTTTGGTTCCACCATCTCACCTTTAGCTTTGTAAAATCAGGCTGCTCACAGGGCCTGACCTGACACAATCGGGTTTCTTTGATCAGCTTGCATTGGGGATTGTTGCTGTTGATGCGGGTAGAGATGCCAAAACCACAACTCTTAGAGCACGGCGACCAGGGTGTGGTCTGGGCCAAGCATTTGCGCTCTTGCTTGGTCTCCTGATCCTGGAAGAATGGTCTCCATGCTGAAGAGAGAGATAGAAAATTAGTTCACCATCATAGGGATCCCAAGGGAGACTTGAGCAAAACAACATCCCAACAACTGGAATGACTGCAGACAACAAGATACTGTTGATGGACCAGTAGTGAGCAGCTATTAGTGCACTGCTAGTGAGTAGTTCAGGGCTGGGCACTTTCGGAAACTGAGGAATTAATTATTTAGATACTCAGATTTGTCCAGCAAAGTTCTTCTTCTGCCAAGAAGAGCCTCTGTGGCAGTTCTGCTACTCCACTGGGTATTTCATGAAGAGGTCAAAGCAAACCATGCATCAGATAGTTATAGCATAGAAAACTGAAGAAGAAAGCAAAATTGAGTTCGGGTACCAACTTTTCTGTGTTTAAAATTTTGGTGACTGAGCAATGTCTCAGGTCAGTGGGGCTTACCTCATATCTGCCTTCCTCTTCCATACTCTTGTAATGTTAAGAATGTCTGGGTGGTACCCATGAAAGGAAGATTAGAAACCCTTTTGGATTATATATAAAGGTTAATAATAATAATAATAAAGAATTAAGTTAGATTTACTCAAGTCTTGATTACTAGGGGGAAAGTGATATGATGCAGGATATAGTCAAATAAAGGAGGGATAATGATGACAACCTATATATATGTATGGGTACAATATAAGGAAATGAGATGTGAATTGTAAACAGCGATTTGGAAAGGATAGAAAACTTTGTTGTTAAATATTATGGGTGTTTAGCTAGAATAGGACATAAGGATTTAGTGTCATTGGAGGATTTTAAAAATAGTAAATGTAATGCCAGTATGTGGTTACGTATTAAATCTGGGTATATTTTATGATGAAGGATGTTTAAACAATTGTAGTCAAATGAAAATGGAGGTATGATGATGGTAACCTGTATAAATATCTGAGTTAAAATACTTGAATTAATATGAATTATGATTGATGACTGTGGAAGAGACGCACAAAAGTGTTTTGTAACCAACTGATACACTTTCTACAGTATGTAAAAAAGGAGGATTCTTTGTGTTGTGTTTGTTTTGAAAATTAAAAAAAATTTTTTTAAAGAAAATTATTAAGAAAAAAGAACAATAATCAAAAGTTCGGATCTCACTTGTAAGGAATAACAATGCATGAAGGCATTGTTGATTAGCTATTTGGTTTCCAATTGTATAAAGACACTTCTTAATTCTGAATCATGAGTGCATGTTTCTCTTTATATTTTTTCTGGTATGTATGAAATATAGTGAAACATACTGTACTGATTCTATAGTGCTATATGTGAAACATTTGTGGATGATAATGATAGGTAAGATTTTATTAGTGAGTTTTGCCCATGTGTGAATATTTCAAACCGAAGCTATGTGGTTGTTTTCTTTCTTAGCCTTCCTTTCCTCAGTCCATCAATATTAATTGCTCGATGCTGCAGGAAAATCTA